GGACCACAGTCTGATAGCCAAGGGCAAGGCACAGTATGAGGGCAATTTGGGGCTCAGTGTTGGAGAAGGGGACAACAATAGGCAGGCGATGCAAGCAGATGAGGGTACCAGAAGTCATTTTGCCTGTTAAACTATTTTTTTTAGGGCTGGCAATGGAGAGGTTAATTTGGGGAAAACAAGACTTTTGTTATGAGACCCTGTAAGGTACCAGAGCAATGAAAAGATTTTCCTCCTCTATTTTTTCCTTCTTGTTCCTTCATTGATCTACCCATCCTGCCCTCTGCTAGGTTCCTTCAGTGGTGGAGCAAGAGTAACCAAAAACAACCAAGGCAAACCATCTACTGGTGGCATCCACTGATTGAAATCTTTCCTAGTGGACCATTTGGGTTTCATACCTCATCTTGTCAGACAGGGAATGGAGCCTCAGGAAATCCTTTGATAAACTGGCTTTCTTTTGTCTAAATGCAAACAATAAGAGAGAACAGAGACTTCAAAGGGACTTGTAATCTATTATTAACCTCATTTGCAGGACAGCTTGCTTGGGCTGAGAAAATAAGCAGCATCTGTTCTGAGCTGTTACTCATAAGTATTAGGTTGGGTTGAGGAAGTGGCCATGTGGAAAGGGGGAGTAGACAAACTAACCAAGTAAGTTTTCCATTAATATTTTTTGAATTGTTTCTTTAGTTCTATGAGAAATTAATAACCTACTGGACTTTTGCAAGTTGTTGAAGGTCATGGTATGACTGATCATTAAAAATAAAGTGTTTGCCTCTGGTCAAAGTTCACACTGGGCTTGTATAGTCTCACAGAATATTGGACACAAAGGGCCCCTTCAGTTTTGAAAACCAAGTGAGTTTTTTGTGTATCCATGGGACCATGCATGCATTTGTTTTATTAGGCCTATGGCTGTCAATGTTATCTGTGTTCAGTCAGGGCTTAGTCGTCTATACAAAATTGGACAGGGGCATGTGCCTGGGAAGAGTTGGAGAGGACTCTTCTGTTTGTTTTATTTCACCACTTGTAGTATCTTGCGCACTCCCTCATGCACACGCAGTCTCTGGCCTCAAGCCCTGCTACATGTTTTTCCCTCTTCATTCTTACAGGTATTGACAGGTCCATACATGGATTCCCCAGGTTCCCTTAGTGTATCTCAGTACTGTCCTGGTTGATTTTACTTCCTCTGGTTTCTTCTCAGAAAAGCCCTATCATTACTTACTGTATGCTTACTGCATGCTCACTGCAGGTCAGGAACTGGGCTGAGCATTTCAGATGCATTATTTTTTATTTATTTATTTATTTGTTTGTTTATTTATTTATTTATTTAGGTACAGGGATCGAACTCAGGTCCTTGTGCTTGCAAGGCAGGCACCGTGACAATGAGCTAAATCCCCAGGCCCGAGATGCATTTTTTGATTAACTTCAAAATAACCTCATGAAGATACCTGATTTACAGATGGGAA